CCCCCCCCCCCCACACACACACACACTGCCAGTAAAGCTGAATAACCCTGACCAATCAGATGAGGGTCTCTGCAGAGCTATAGGTCGGTATATGTTCAATGAGGGGATTCAGAGAAGGAACTTGGAGACATCTCTGTCATAATCCCATTTTTTGGTTGATCTGTTTCCTGTTTTTTTGAGTTATCGACTTTCCTATTATTTTAATTTAACAGAAAAATACCTGATAGGGAACAGGTGCAAGACTTTTCAAAATAAAAGAGGAAACCAAAAACTGGAACCATGATAGATTCACCTCCTGTTCAGCTCTACACGTGTAAAATGGACCCCCTCCTAATTCAGTGCTTTCACTGTTGACAATCCCCCCCCCCTAAACACTAAAACAGAAAAGAGAGACTATGAATCAGCCCACTGAGATGATGTAAGCCAGTCATAAAGAAGCGGTGAGCAATTTCATCCAACTTGGAACTCAAATAAAATAAATCATGCAATTTACAATATACAAAATAACCCTGAGGGCGTTGACACAGGAACAAAAGATTGTAACCACGTCTTCCGAAAAGCTGCACAGCATGCAAAGCTTGGAGAAACAAACAGTAGAACATAAAGAGGCAGAGTATGGGCACTCTGTCAGAGATAAACACAGGGATCTGAACTAACTACAGGCTCAGTGATCGCCAACTGAAGCAGAAACAGGAAGTCACTGAAACACATGGCTGCCCACAGAGGATGTAGCTCTATAGAGAAGCACATCTTTCACTACTGTGAGAAATAACAAACATTTAAAGGAAAGACTGATGGAATCAATCAGACCAACACTAGTAGCCATAAAGTGACCGAACCTTCCACTAACTCCCCCCCCCCACTGTGTTACTGAAGGAGTCATTTCTGGAGGGGAGCAGAGTTGCAGTTTCCGAACTGCTGGAGCTCACATGTTCACACCTCCCACATGAAGTCTTGATCAAGGCGTTCAGCAGACACTTTCCTCAGTAATGATGAAAATTCTTGAGCTCTGGACTCATGGTTCTGGAAGGAAGAGGGGCTTGGAGAGGTTTTTAGAACAAATCCTGTCTGCAGACCTGCTGGTGAAGGCAGATCTGCTCCTCTGGAAGATACATCTATGTGCAGTAGCTGCCTGGAGCTGAACTTGTTCAAACTCTATTGTACTGTATAGCAATCAGAACATGGACATCTGTTTATTTTGTGAGCTCTGTGTATTTATTATGTCCTAGGTGAATATTTTGTTACTCTCTTTGGCCATCATGAGGAAGGAGAGCCTTCAGAGCATCTGATCATTCTGATCTGATATATTGCAACACCAGTTTCATACCGGAGTGAGACAGATACCCCTGGACTATTTTTCTTTAAATCAAATCGCCCCAGCAGGATTCACATACATTGACAAACCTCGCCCACAAGGGCGGGGTGGTTGTATAGCTGCTATTATCAGAAAGGAAATAAAAGCTACCATAATCCCCATCCCTGATGCTTCTTCATTTGAACACCTGATCTTTAAACTCTCTGGTCCCACTCCCCTGGTCACAGCCATCATCTACCGTCCCCCGAAGCCAAACCCCTCCTTTCCCTCCGACCTCTCTGACATTCTCACTCAGCTTTCTGCCATATCCCCCTCTCTTCTCCTCTTAGGTGATTTTAACATTCATGTTGACGACCCGACCTGCAATGCCTCTGAATTTAAGTAAACCCTTCCTTGCTGCAACTTCTCTCAACACATCAACTTCCCAACACACAGCTGTGGTCACATCCTGTACTTGGTCTGCTCCACTGGTCTCACCATCCATCATCTGTCCAGCCTCAATCTCCACATCTCTGATCACCTGGCCATCATCATGGACATCAACATCCCCATCCCCGCCCAAAAGCAAAAATGCACAATAACCTACAAAAATCTCAAATCCATCTCACCTTCAGCAATCACTGCCTCCATTACCTGCAAGATGTCTGTCTCCCCCCTCCACTTTCTGAAAACCCATCTGAACTTATGGACTATTATAACAGCACCCTCTCCTTCTGTCTCAATGAACTGGCCCCCACAAAAACAAAAAATGTCTCTTATACACTCCGCCCCTTGGTATACCCCCAAACTCCGCCAAATGAAATCAAGGAAACGTCAACTTGAACGCCAACACAAGAAAACCACACTAACAGTCCATCTTCAAATCAACAAAGACTATCTCCAGCAGTACAGTAACGCACTCAAAGCAGCCCGGTCTAATTACTACTCACAACTCATTCAGTCTGGCTCCAGCAACCCCAAGCGTCTCTTCTCCACCATCAGCAAACTTCTCAAACCCTGTGACAACGCCACCTCGTCCTTCACCACCGAACAGTGCAACTCCTTCCTTTCGTTTTTCCAAACCAAAATCAGCAACATTTACAGCAATCTGACACCCTTCATCAGCACCCCGCACCTCCCCTCCTGGCTCCCCCCCCCCC